TTGACTGCAATATTTTTTCAGAGCTGGCATCCTCGTTAAAGTGTCAGATACTGTAAGCTGAGCGCTAGCAGAGTGTGCATTAAACTTACGAAGCCCCACAAAAGTTAACGAATATAACATTAAAGTGCAGATTGTTCAATGACCTTTCGCTTTCAGCTCTATGTGGGCATAATACAAGCTTAACCATGACGTTCCATCAGGATGCCAAACACAATAGAGTCCGACAAGTGTAATAATCACCCTTCAGGAAACTTTAGGAAAACTGGGGAACCTCTTACGATATTATCCATAGTCGATTATACTGTGCCAAAATAAGAAAAGCTGGGGAGCCTTTCACGATATTATCCATAATCGATTATACTATGCAAAAATACAAATACCGAAAAAGATATATGTAGATATATATATAGATATAGAGATAGAGATAGAGATAGAGATAGAGATAGAGATATAGATATAGATATAGATATAGATATAGATATAGATATAGATATAGATATAGATATAGATATAGATATAGATATAGATATAGATATAGATATAGATATAGATATAGATATAGATATAGATATAGATATAGATATAGATATAGATATAGATATAGATATAGATATAGATATAGATATAGATATAGATATAGATATAGATATAGATATAGATATAGATATAGATATAGATACAGNAGTTCTTTATTTATTTATTTCTTTTTTTTCACACAATAAACAACAAATGCAATAAGTAAAGCAAACAAAAATATTAATTTTCAGCACAAAAAGTGAGCGGCTGAAGAGATCAAGAGAAACCGTTTGTCGCTTTGTTTCGATTATCGACTGGATGAAGTGAGGTGGATCACAGTAAAGCCTCTTATATAAATTACTACACACACTATATACATTTATATGTGTATTGTATAAGCTTTCAGCGACTTTTTACTCTGAGCTTTCACTTTGCCAGCTTGTATGAAGAGGATTTAGCTTTTTTATGGCATACTTTTGGGCGAAATTAAAACAAAACGAATGAAGATGAAACAAACTGGGCAATGAGAGTACAGGGGAAAGGGGAAAGATAGAGATAGAGATAGAGATAGAGATAGAGATAGAGATAGAGATAGAGATAGAGATAGAGATAGAGATAGAGATAGAGATAGAGATAGAGATAGAGATAGAGATAGAGATAGAGATAGAGATAGAGATAGAGATAGAGATAGAGATAGAGATAGAGATAGAGATAGAGATAGAGATAGAGATAGAGATAGAGATAGAGATAGAGATAGAGATATAAAATTATGAAAAGTGAAATAGGCATCATTTACATATTGCTTAGAGAGTTACAAGCATTAAAGGGCAACCCATTGAATGTTGCGGCAAGTGCAATGTAAAAATGAACAAACATAAATAGGCATAAATAATAGACGAATCTCTCGACTTGTGTGTGTCGGATGACCCCCAGCAGATGGTATACATGGCCTGGGCAATATAGACGCACGATGTCCTCCGACTGTGCTGCAGTCGCCCTTTTGTATGCGCCCTTTTGACCAAACAAGTGCGCTATCAACAAAGAGACAAAGCCGAGCAAGAACAACAATAACAACAACAAAGAGTGGTCACAAACACAAAAGCTTTCTTTGAACAGCGAAAAGTACCATACAGTTAAAAACCGTCTAGCGTTTGGATATGCACATATCTCGATGTGTTTTCTTATACATACACACATTCATACATACATATATGCAAAAAAGTAGGAAATAATTGACTATATCATAAATATATACATATATTTATCTATCTCTATCTCTATCTCTCTATATACTATTCGTACACGGTCTAGCAGCGTTTAAGTTATAGTAGTATCTGAGATTAACATGGTATGTCCTTTAAACTCAAAGCTTAAGTTTTACCGGTCTGAGTAAATAGGAGTAGTAAATTTCTATTTGTACTTATCATGCTTTATATTCATATGTAACAAAGACAATTGTCAAAGATAATATTTGAAATTTGTATATATATTTGAGAGGTCTAAAACATGGGACATTTAATATTAAAGCTTTGATAGAAGATAGAAGATATAAAATTTTTAACACATTGATGACTAAGACTCACTTGATATATTTCTGTCTATATGCGCAATTACCTGTAGTATATACAAACAAGCTACACGTAAAATTGGATTCATCCGTTACCTATATATCTATAATAGATTGAGTTTTACATTCAGCATTCGTGTTCTTTTATTTTTGAGGTCGTGGACTTGCCCTTTGAGTTGGTAATTTGCAAAGTGGTAATCGGCATTCTCTCAAATAAGTAGACCCCATTAGATTCATTCCACCGCCAATGGTCCTTCGGCTAACCAAATTCATTTTTAATGCCAGCACGTGCGCAAAGACATGAAGGCCACTGCCGAGGGCTCGTAAACAATGCCAAATAGTCGATGGGAAACGGGAAATGGTCGTGGGTCCAGGTCCAGAGCTCCTGAAAAGGTGGTTGGGCAATTTCAATTGAAAATTCATTATTGCGCCCAGGCATTTGTGTGTGTTTCTCTTTTTAACTTTCTTTATGTGTTTTATTTTTCTGATGTTGTTGTTTGTTTATGGTGCTTAAAAAGGAAGAATAATATTTATTTTATTTACCTTAAGCCCCCTTTATACACCCACACACAAATCGTTTGTATTTGCACAAGTACTTATATTTCTAATACAGAACTATGAATATATGTTAGGGCCTTTTGTTCATACTTGGTGGGAATGTTCGAGCAAAGGCAACGAGTGATCTGAAGTAAGAAGTATGTAGCCAACCTTCCCCTTCAAAATTGCTGGGCTACGAAAAGTCGCCCCCAAGTCTTGAAGTGTGTCGATGGATTTTTACGAGTAACGCGGACAAATTGAACGCACTTGCTTCGACGTAAAATGATAAATGGTCCAAGAAATAGAAAGTAATGAAATTCGTCTAAAATGGATGCAAGAAGCCTTCTAGCTCCTTATGTATTCACACAAACATACAGAACGTTTGTCAGGTTTTGGTTTTATTTGCGCCATTAAGGAGAATCAAGTGTACTGGTTTCTAGTTTTGTGTTAAGTCCACTTCCGATTCATCAGCCATCACTGATGAACTTTTTCCATATCATTTGATGCTTTTGGACTTGCCAATAAAATATATTTTTACAATTATTGTATAGAAAATTAAGTTTTATTTAAACGAGAGCTTAACTCTTCGCTCCGATTCCAAATCCAAATCCGGCGTTCTTACTTCTTACTTTACAATCTATATATTATTTATTTTGTATATAATCTTGTATTTCGCTATGTATAACACTTGATACGTATTATATGTATTATATATCTGTATATATGTTGAGCCCAGAAAAAATCCAAAACCGCCAAAAAAGCCCATTAAAGTCAACTTGCGGAAGCTATTTGCAGGAGCCATGTCAATATTTGAATGGATGACTACGTATGTATGAGTGTGGTGTGCGGCGTCTGTATGCGGTGTGTGTTGATGTCGCGTCTATTCATACGAGCTACGGAAGTCATCATTATAAATAAAATGTTCAGTTCAAAGCAAATCGCAAAAACAATCATTTGTTGTCTTTGTCACTTCCCCAACTGAAGCTCTGTTTCCTCTTTTGGCTGTGAGTTCGAGGCTGACTGTTTCTGAATCAGAGATGTGGACTGAACTTGCTACTGTATTCTGTATTCTACTCTATTCGACCATTCGTGGCCTTACTGTCGTCACTGTTTAAGATAAACTCTTTTCTGAAAGATATATATTTTGTATCCATCGCTGCTCTATTCGCTTGTATATTTCCAGTCTCGATATTTAATTTATCGAATAAGTCAAACAAACTTGGCTTAGTCGATGATGTAATACTAGATCGGTCTACTACGCGTCATTCCATCCGTCTGCCTGTACACAGCGCGCTTATCTCATTTCGTAACATTGTATTTTGAGGGCGCTGAATTTTAATACATATAATAATACTTCAACTCCCATATGAATATATAGAATGTTCAGCGATAAATAAGTTACACCTTTCTTTCTTTCTTTGAATAGCACTTGTGGTTGTATGCATGATGCGTGCGCTTCCAAATATATAATAGAGTTTACCTTGTTATTAATTTGTCATCTTATCCAAAGCCAATATGTATGATTAACAGAAAAGGACTGCATGACTGGAGTTAGAGTCACCCACACCATTATAAAATAATAGATTTGCTTCATGTGCAGCTCGCAGCACACATCCACGTGCCAAAGACTACTCCAAATGCAATATCAAGAAAGCGACACGAAGAAGAGAAAAGGAGAGAGAAAGAGAGGAGCGTGAGACAGATAAACGGAAGTTGATGCCGAAAGATTTCTCTAAATATAAATATGCTATGTATAATGTGTATTCTCCGGGAAGCACGACAGAAATTTATTTTTGTAATTTTGTTTTTCTTTTTTGTGTTGTACCTATGAAATAAAGAATGCTTTAGCTCGGAGCATAGCGTGAACTAAATACGATCTTCAGGACCTCAATACTAATAAATGCAATTTTTAGCTGATATGCAATATATATATAAAAAAAAATCGAAATTCTGACTCATTTATAAATTTACATTCTGTAAATAATTTTTAGTTAATTCAAGAGTTAGAAGCTCTAACCGAGTCCGGGTTCCACTATTCATTCATATGGACCAAAATATAAATATGTGGCTTTTATACCGACCTCAAGGTCGATAAGCTCTAAGGATGTAGGGTATATCATTTTGTAGTTGATTTCCATAAGGTATTTAATCGATTAAACTAAATATAATTAGTGATTTTTGAAACAAACTCGATCTGCGCGTGCATGGGCCTACAACAAACATTATTAAAATTTTGTCCAGGTCTTATAGCTTCTAAGCTTGATGCGGTATATACTTTATAGAGTATAGACTTTATAGAGCCTACTTATTTAAAAAATGCATTACAGCTTGATTTCCCATTTTCAATGCTTACAATGTTTACGTTTTTTATTTACAGAATGTCGGGAAAACGCAAATCGCCCCCGAATAAATTTGATGGCGATTCAAATAGCTCACTAGATGTTGAAGGATCCGCAACAGAGACTGGACGCCAATTTAATTTCCAATTAAATTTAAGCGAAATCACACTCTCTGCTGCTAAAATGCAACAACAATTTGTTAACAATAAAAATAAGTGTACTGAGAATGAGGAAGCCGGCTGTAATATTTTGGGGACCAGCGACGGTGAAGGCGAAGGTGTAATCAAAGGCGAAGTTATATGCAAGGGGCATGAATTTATGGAACTTGAGATGGGTCCTGTGTCGGCTAGTGATGGGGAGAACGCTTTGTTGGATATTGACGCACGGAGCATTAGCACAGTAACTAGTTCCAGTGAATCGGAATTCGATAATGTCAGCCAGGTAAGTACTTCAGAAATGGTAATAGTGTAATAGTAATAATTAGACTCATTCACGAAAGTGAAATGAGTATATTGGTTTTCTGCAATGTCCATCTTGCTGTCCGTCCGTCTGTCCGTCTGTCCGTCCGTCTGTCCGTCTGTCCGTCCGTCTGTCCGTCTGTCCGTATGAACGCAATCTATTTCGGCGCTATTGAAGCTAGAGACTTGAAATTTGGAACACATAGTCGTGTATATCTCCGATTTATAAAGTGTTAAAATTTTCCCGATCCGCCCACTAGGGGCGTGGCAAATCGGAAAATGCATTTTCCGATATACCAGAAATCATGTTTGTTGAAGAGCTAGAAAGCTGAAATTTGGTATGTAGGTCCGCGCCGATCACCCAAGATCACAAGCTATGGCGGATATATCTCCGCCCATTAGGGGCGTGGCAAATCGGANTTGTATAAATTATATATGTATGTAATTTGAATGCAATAGCTATCGATGATTTTCCAATTTTAATGACATCATGCCGTGTTTTTTGCTGCGCACTAGACTTGAAAATTGCACTATATACTCTGGTTGACAGCGTTTGGGCTGTGAATGAGTCTTCTGCTATCGGTATCGCCCGATTGTAACGTTCTTACTTGTTTTAATTTTAGTTTATTCAAAATTAATTACTTTATTTAAATTAATTTTAATTTTCATTTCATTTCATTAATTTTTATTGCAGCCAGCTCATCAAATTGAAACGGCAAAAAGGCGTATTCAAATTACGTCAAAGTCGCGACTATTAAATGGTATTTCGAAGATGAAGCCAGCTACTGCGATTGCTAACGCCAGTGATATACTGGCTTTACATGATCAAAATTCTCGCTGCACAAATACCCTGCCAACGTACCCAACGAATGAGACAGCTGAGCCAAAGGATGTCAATATCGAGAACGCGAGTGCTATGATATTCAGAAGTCAGTATAGAAACCTGATAAAACAAGAACTTTTTGAGAAACCAGACACGGATTCAAAAGATCAAATAATGCAAATAGAACAAAACATTATTGGTGTAGAACAACAACGTTTTTCGACTGCTATGGATGGCGGACAATATATACCTAATCGAATGGAACTGCCATCGCTAAATGACCTCACTCATCGTTTGGGCCTGGATGCCTTTGGCAAGCAAAGCCTATCAGACGACAACTCTTCGTTGCTCAAACCTTTAAGGTGAGCTTACAATTCTCCATATTTCTAATGATCTAGTCATCAAAATATTGGTACTTAAGTGTCAAGCTGCAGGAGATACAGGTTTACATAGCTTGGCATATTCTCAGGTGACGTTCATATATGTATATTCATATCCTGAAATTAATAAAATAATCGAGCGGTCTCGACTGGAGCTTTCTTACTTGTTTTACTGGCTTTTTTTTCAAAACTATATTTTAAAATTGTATCTTATACATATAAGAGGTAAATCTTACCAAAAAATAATGCCTGTGATTGAGTTTTCAAATGGGAAATAAAAGTAGAAGTTGTGACAGCTGCCGTAAAATTGAATATTAAGTTTTTTTAAACATGGATATTAAGGAATATTGGTGTATGCTCTTTACTATTCTTGTACACTAGAAGTATATAGACCCAACTTTGAATAGAAAAAGTATTCATTTATTTAGGAATATGAACAAAAAATTTATTATTTCTGCACATGCCAAATAGAAGCTCAATTATAATTGATGTATCAGATTATGTATCTCTGCCGGCGGCATGTAAATATATAATTATAATACAAACTTATTGAACATAGTTGTTGAGAAGTAGTCTAAAATAAGTTCGCGTCCTAATTGGGGTGTCCCTTTTGAACTGGAGCGGGGTCAATCAACTTAGATTTGTGCTTGTGGTCGTATTTGGCCATCCTCCCTTACTATATATTCGCAATTTCCGCTTGTAGCATTCAATTATTTAGAAATAGTCCACAAGCAGAGCTCTACCAACAAGCCAACACAGTGGCACTAAAGACTAATTTAGACAGTTATATTGATTCGGTTAACGAAGCTGATATATTATTAATAATATCCAATTAAATATTGTTAATTTTCAACATGTTGATCAACAAAAAAAAATAAAATAAAAAATAAAATAAAATAAAAATTGCTCAATACTGAAGCTATGTATCCTTCTATTTCATACGCATATTTTCATGTTCACTAGAAGCTTAACTGTAAAGATAAATATCCAAATAAAACATAAATTGTATTGATAAAATAAAATACCCCTTTCAGTTTTATTTAATACGTCAATCAATTAAAAAATTCATGTTATTCTATTGATATACTATATATTTTTTCGTACATAAATAAATTAATAAAAATCCTCAAATAATTTAATTATTGTTTGACACTTTATAATTTGTAAACAAAAAATTGCGTCATTTTATAGTAGACTCGAACCAATGTATATTTGCTTAATCATCTACTCCTTTGCTTTCAAATTATTTGGTAGTTTTTGATAGGTGTACATATTTAACATATTTAACTTCGGTAACTCTCTAATAGGAAATTAAATGTAATTACAGATTACTTAAACGCAGAAGCTTTGATAGTCTCCTTTAAAATCAATATAAATTTGTGTAGTACAATTAAGAAAGTTGTAGTCGAGACTGCTCGACTATGAGATTCCCTGCACCCTTCGAGCAACAGCTATTTCTATCATTTTTCGCGTCTTTCAGCTTACACAAGAGACACACACACAGACACATGCATGAACGCATAAACACGCATGGACTGCAGTGTAGGACTACTATGCGAACTTAATTGTTTAATAACTTTTCTTGTCGATGGACAATGTACTAAGCACAAGTCCTTAGTATTTGAAATACGTCTTTTACAAAGAAGATATACACGAGTATGTGTTCCAAATTTCAAGTTTCTAGCTAGCGTCGAAAAAAATTGCGTTCATACGGACAGACGGACGTACAAGACGGACATTGCACAAAATCAATATACTCATTTCATTTTCGTGAATAAGTATTAAAACAAGATAGCTCTAGTCGAGACTGCTCGACTACAAGATCCCTTAAACCCTTCGAGCAACTGATACTTATTCACTTCTTCACTCATGCACATACATACGCACAAACAGGTATATGCACGCACGCATAAACACGTATAGACTGCAGTGTGGTCTTACTATGGGAACTTAATTGTTTGATAACGTTTCTTGTATAATGAAAATAAAATGGGTGTCATTATACCCTGATTTCCCATTGAAAATGGGTCCAGGGTATACAAAATAAAGATATAATAGCATAAGGACTCCACAATAAATATATCTTAAATGCAATTGACAAGCTTTTAAACTATTTGTATATGTATATATGTATGTAGTATATAATTTGAATTTAATTGAATTGAATTGAATTATAATGACTGTCTTTATTTTAGAGAAATTGCCACGTTGACTGCAAGAGAGCCATCCCAGCAAACATGTGAAAAAAATCGAGCTGTTTCAGAAATGATTCGGCATTTGCAGCTCATTCGAAGTAGATTGATCAGCCAGGTAAGATAAAAATTACAAATGAATATTCAAAGAACTGAGATCAATGTCATTGCCACTGAAATCCGTATTTAATATGTATATAGTACATATGTAGTATGTACATATACATATAAGGTGTGCGAAATTAGTTACTGGGACAAACACTTAACACATTATACAGTGGACGCCGGTTATAACGGCAGTCAAGGGACCGACGATTTTATGTCGCTATACCCGGACGACGCTTAAGCCGGAAGGAGCAAAAAAATCTATTTTTGTTTCTTTTGTTTACGGTTGCCTTGTTCCTAATGGATTTAAACATAAAAAAATTTAATTTTTTCTTAATCAAAACATAAAAATGCTATAAATTTATTTCAATATCATGGTAACGTTGACATTGCAGTTAGTCTATCTCTTTGTCTTAGCAGCATTTGTGTCGCTGCTACGTACTGATTACTGATTACTGATAAATAAATACATATACATATATTCATATATCTAACAACGGATTAGTATGCTTAAGTGTGAATGACTGAAAATTATTAAAAAAAATCGTCGGGATAAACGGATTGTCATTTAAGGGGAAACGTAGTAAGCGGAGGCTCTTCCACTAGGGGCGTGGCAAAAAATGCATTTCCCGATATACCAGAAATCATATTAGTTGATGAACTAGAATGCTGAAATTTAGAATGTACGCCTATTGGGGTATGTCAATTTGGATAATACTGTACCTCGTAGAGTTTTAAAGCTAGAACGTTGAAATTTTGCACGTAAACTAATGTTATGATTCTATAAAGATAAATTAAAACAACTAAGAAAACTCTAGTCGAGAGTGCTCGACTAGATACTACCCTGAACSCAACAAATAAAAATGCCCATTTAGTATGGCTGAAATTTCAATTTCGATGTATTTAAAAATATAAATAAAATACCAAACTCATTTAATAAAATATAAAAATATTTTGAAACAATTAAAAAAAAATTAACATTTAATAAAATATAAAAATATTTTGAAACAATTAAAAAA